GTATAGAATTGGACCTTTTTAATAAAGACGAGGTTACGATTTGAGTTCAATATCAATATCTTTCGTTCTGTCCATGAAACCTAAAATCTAAGTACATGGGGCTTATGTATAAGAGTTATGCTAGATTGTTCTGCCGCTGGCTGATGTTGTGTCAGCGTTCTTGTCGTCTGGTCTTGCTGCTGTTGGTGTCAGCGTTTGGCCGGATGTTGGTACAATGCTGATCGATACAATGTAATACAATGTTGACACACTTGTTTATTTGTTTCCCGGTTCGTTGTACCGGAGGGCCCATGGGTGTCAATGTTCCCAGTGGTGTAGGCGTGGGGGCTTAGGGGGCGTGGTAACTAGTGCGCTTGACAGTGCACCTTCTATAAGAGCCTTCAGCTGCTCACTGGTCATTGCCATTTTTGGAAAATTTTTGGGAGCGATTCTTTGGTTCACTGATTCTTTGAATTATCTGAGCTAACAAGCTTTCTAGCTCTTTATCACTCATTTGAATTTTTAACACAAAGAACGAAAACTTTTTGTTTCGTTTTATTTTCTTATATTTTGCGTTTGTTCCCTTTTTTTTTTTAAACAAAAAATTTTGAAAACAAAAACAAATATATAATATTTCTTTGGAAGATAAAAGAAATTTTGTTTACATTTTTTTTTTCTAGTGGCGATATATGCTCGGTCAATACACAATTTTCGGATCTTCTTTTTTTCATTAATTTTATATTTGAACTTTGGAAAATTTTTTTTTTAATTTTGGTACAGTTTTTTTCAAATAGTCGGATACAAAAAAATCAAGTAACACTCTACTTACATGTTCTCCCTTTTTTTTATAAGAACAAAAATTGTCCTAATTAGTGTATGGCTGCTTACGCTGCCGTCTACTAGTTGGTCTTCTTAGGAGTCTCTTCTATGTCACTGCCGTCGGCAATTTTTATTTGCCTGGTTGGTCTTCTTAGAGTTTTTGTTTATGTCACTGCCGTCGGGAATTTACCGTTGTTTTTTTTTTTATTTGGTTGGTTGGTTTATGGTGATTTTTTTTTTGTATTTTTTCGGTATTAATAAGTTTTTTATTTTAATGTCTCGAGGGCCTTACGTGATTTTTGTAAACAACATTTTTCACGTATCGAGGGTTTTACGATTGCGTGTTTTTATAATTGTGGGACGAAGTTCTACCGCGTTGGGCGTCAATTATCCAGAATCGATCTTTTAATTTAGATATTTTAAATGAAAAGATTATAAAATTTATTATGCGAGGCGACGACCGTCGCGATTTATTCCCCAAATTCAACTAAACTCTAAGTACAAAACTTCTTATAACTAAAGCTAGCCCTATGCCCTAAATCCGCTGACTCGGCGACTCGTGCATGGTGTAGCGGAGCGTAGACCGCTGCCCAGTCGATGAACCAAGTTCTTGCACACGCTGTTGTGGATATCTGCAATATCTTGCACTTTTATCGTGCAAGTGATACATGATCGGTTTGGCCGTTTGTTGTTTGCTGGTCAATCGTGTTAACTTATACAAAAATTTGTTAAAACTATTAACCTTAAACGATCCCTTTTGTTAGTTGTATTTGTTGTTGCTTCTAAAATGAATCCATTACTTGGAAAAATTAATGAATAAAAATTTAATTTAATTATATTTAAAATAAATTTCTTACCATTTTCTTCGAAACTGATACTCAATAAAAATTGCTTCTGCTTCTCACAAAAGTCTAAACGCAAGTGACTCCGCTTATCTATTTCGTTCTCTTAGGGTTATTTAACTTTTACTCTTTTCCAACCCTTTTACCTACATAATTTGTTTTGCCTATGCGCTCGCCGACTAAGAGCGTCAGCTTAGCAGTCGGAGAGAAATAAAATATAGATTAATTTGCTTCAAAAATCATCATATTCTTCACCTTGATTAGGCACATTATCATTGCACTTTCATCGCTTTAAATTATTATGAGAGGAAGATCGCACGCGAGAGAGCCGGGAGAGCGTCAACTGTGCACCGATGGTTTTGTGATGTTATTCAGTAGCAATGAATTGTGGAACAGCAGGGTACATTATCATACTACTACTGTTCTACCAAAGACACTAGAATAATAAGATGCGTAACAGCCATACATTGGTTTTGCCAAAGACTCTAGAATAATAAGATGCGTAACGGTCATACATTGGTATTGCACTATGCAGCCGCTTTTTTGGTGTCGGCAATAATTGCTTTCTCCCCGCTCGCGTAAAATTGAGACCATAAAAATCTAAAAATAGAATTCACTTGCTTGTGTGAGTGAAAACAGTAAGCAAAATAGTGTGCATGTGTGCGTAGTTGTGCTAGATGACGATATTCGGTCCGAAATCAATTTTGATCTAAGAAACGAATTCGATTATTGTTTTGGTCAATTTCGTTGTTGATGACGTGACAATTTTTGTTTTTTAAGAAATTATGTTAGTATTAGTCAGATAAAATCGCCGCTCGAATTAGCTACCGTTAATTATATTTTTTTCTACACTTAAACTGGTAACACCCTGGAACCAACGATTCGATATCTCATCGCACAGGATTTTTACGATCAACATATTTTTTTTAATAATGTTAACCAAAGTGTATAGGCATAGAAGATATTTTATGCCTCATCGATAAAAATTAAATGTTAAATAACTAATATTTTCATAATTAAAGATAACTTTCAGAGGCGAGTATCAGCCTTGTTTTTGAAGCACAAAGACCAGAACCGTCACAGCGAAGTTTGTAGTCGTGAATAGCCAGCAGCTTTTGTTGACGTGTGCATCGTTGCCCGCTGGTGAACAAATTAATGTCCACTTATGTAGCTTTTGTATGCCAGAATTTAATTGTTCATTACACATTACATAAAAATATAATATGAATTGAACTACGATAAAGTAAAAGGGGGTGCTGACGCGAAAAGTGGGGTAGGTAAAAAATGATGACATAACGTTTGACGAACAACCTTGACAAAAGGGGGTCGTCCATTTGGAAGACGGACGTGTGAAGAAGAGGGAATGTGGCCCATTGCCCATTCTTCTAAAATTTATTCTCGTTTAGTTGGAGAGGTGAGAGGCACGATCGCCGACCCGAATACGACGAGCTTAGGCTGGCAAACTGGTGCCTGAACATCGGATGCCTCGCCGTCCGCCAAAGGCCGTCACAGATCACCTCACATGAGATATGTAAAGAAAAAATAAAGATGTACAGAAATACATTTTTATAATGCTTTATAACTTATGTCGTCATAGTTAGTGCATGTTAAAAATATTTAAATATTTATTTGCTGCAGTTTTGTTTTTAAGTGTCAAGCTAAAGATCCATATTCAAGGTGGTTGGTGTTGTTGTGGGTTACCATATACGTTTGAAACAACCCGTGATCCACTCAAAAAGTTCGCCCGTCATCAACCACCTGTTGGGCACGACATAATGTGTTTCAAACAATATTATTATATCTAACCTCCATTAACGATCATCCGTCACATACCAGTAGCTTGAAATAACTCCCCCACACAAGTTTTAAACAGGATAGAACGCTTAAGTCGAGGTACCCGTTCTCATTAGATCAGATAACCCTTACTCAGCTTGTGGAAATGCGAACGAGAAATTTGGACAGCCTGCCATATCGATAGATATTGGGAAAAAAGAAAAATCATTTCAACATTTTTCAACTGTGTGGGCGTGACAATTTTGAAGATTTAGAAGGGTCGCGGCAACAATATTTTGGGTATCCCGTAGAAATTGGCAAGGAATCAGGAATGTATATATATATTGGGTCGGAAAGGATTCCGAATAGAATAGAATAGAAAGAATATTTTTCAAATTTACAATACTAATACCTGTAGTCGTTCGAATAAACTTTGTTTCAACATTAATAACTAGAATATTAATGTTGTATTAAAGAACTTTTGGAGTTTTAAAGTAAAAGGGTGTACTAGATTCGTTAATAAGGATCGGTCCGTATGTATTAAGAAATATACCACCCGCAATGGCAAATCAAAACCAATAAAAATAATATAATAATAAAAAGAAGAAGAAGAAGAAATGTTTAATTATTGTATATAATTTTGAGTAAGAGGGTATACTATATTCGTTGAAAAATATGTAACAGGTTGAAGCGTCTCCGATCATTTAAAGTATATATGTACATATAGAAGGTTATATTTCAACGAATGTAGTACGAGTACTACTTTAATAACGGGTAAAAATACGTTTAGACATTATGAATAGCATATAATAATTAATTTTTAACGTAATAGTTAACAAGTCACTAGCTATTTTCCCTATAAATTAGCGAATATCCCAAAAAGGCATAGAACTGATTTTTCAGTTAGAATCTGTTTAAAACAGATAAAATAATTCTAAAACAATTTCAACGAAAATAACAATAAATAAAATTTGCACAAAAACTTTATTAGAAACTATCTTTAAAACGAAGCGTCGGATTTTCACAAGAGTGTGGCACTCGATGACAATTGCTTTCGATATCTCAAAAAAAATATAAGTTCCCACTCCCACTATTTGAATACTCAACATTTTTCGGTTTTTTCAAACATTATATTTTTTTATATTTTAATTTTTTTTCAAAATTTAATATTTTTTATGTTATTCTTAAATATCCATATAAATCGGAAAGAAACATAGTTAAAAAAAAAAAAATTGAAACTAGCTTTGGCAAACCATGCCTATATACATACCCTCGCAGTAGTTATATATAATAATTATTTTTAATACATTCTCCAACAGTTTCCTTGCAGCTATATAATTATTTCTTCCGAATTTGAAAAAATTAAAACCGAACTTCAGAGAACGAGAGAACTTCGGCATAGGCCGAGGTCAACGTTGCCGACCGCTACAAAAATTGTATTGTTTTTTGCACATGCACGCCTATTATTCAATTACCCAAATTGTTTGTAAAGCAATACAACCTGTAATTAGCATTACAAATTTATTGGAACGATTGGCCACCATACAGCTCATTGTTTCATTTGCTAGATTAAATTATCAAAGTTAGAAGTGAAAAGCGAAAATGCTTATAGATCTGAGTTGGTCACTTGTCCTAAGTGCTATTAGTAATAAAAGTTACGTTTTAAAATTTAATTGTTATCTTTAAACTTTTTATTCAGTAGGAACATATTTGAATGAGAGCACGATCTGTATATTTTGGAATGATAAATTCGAGTTCCAACTGCTTCATAATGCGGAGTATATAAGCTATGTGGGAATAAATATTGATAGCTTAAATAAGAAAAGAGGTCGATATATTGTTGATACGGGATTGAAGAAAAAAGAGCTTGAAAACAAACATTTGTCTCTGGACGACCTTGTGAACAAAATTATTATATCTATTGAAGTCACACACTGCGAGGTACACCTTAAGCATAAAAAAACTATTCAAAATTATTTACATTTTTGAAAATTCCATATCAGACGTTTGTAGTATTCGACAAAGATATTGATCAATTTGTGGATGCGTTTACTAAGGCGTCAGTATATTCAATATGGAGGTCTTTACATAATAAATTTCTGTTTGCTCATATAGCTAACGAATTGCAGGAGTCCCGTAAGCACTTCTTTGAAGGTATGTACAAAGATAGTGTTAAGCTATATACATTTCTGTTCAATGTTCAAATATTTAGGGTTGTTAGTGCTTAATTTTGTGTCGGCCACCAGTAGCCAGTAGCTTTCGCCTGCTAAGTATAAGGCAAGTGGACACTTCATTATGAATTGTACAAATACACAATTAAACTATTATTGTAAAAAAGACAACAAAAAAAATAGACGAGTGCGACTACAATTAGAAATCCGTTACGCAGCTAATGGAAGGGCGAGAGGAATTCAGATTCAAGTTAAGATTTAAGTAATCAAGTAAAAGATTTGGAACAGCGGTACTTTCTTAAATTGATATTTTCTTCTTGCCATGTTCCAAATCCCAGGGATTTGCCCATACTTAATTCATAAAATTATGTGAAAAGTTTACAGTTATCAAATCATGTAATCATGACATCCATAAAAATTATTTTTAAACGATGTTTGTGACCGTGATGCTAGCGAGGACTCATTCTCTTTTAACATTATCGCAAAGGATCATTTGTTTTAGCTTGTTAATAACGAACTATTAGCATAAGGATGCTTTTTTATCATATCTTATTATGCCAAATGTGCTTACGACTTGCCGAAAAATTTTATTTATCACTTTCCTACGAGATATCATTGCTCTTGTTAAACTTTTTCATCAGTAATGTTTCGCCTGTCGTGACAGTTAGAGTTGGCATCTTCAAAATGGTTTTGTCATATCGATAGAATTTGGCAAGACAAATTATAAGTTTTTTTTTTAATTAAAACATTTTAGGTGCATTGTGGGCGTCAGAGAACGAGTTTAAAAGGGACATTCTCACAACGGTGTGGGTAGAATTTTTTTTAGGTAATTAACACTTAGCTGCCGCCCACAAAACTGTCATTCCCACACTTTCTAAAAATGTTTTAATAATTTTTCAGTTTTTATGAGTCTTGTAAATTTGTATATATTTGCCGCCCAAACCTGCTACGCCTCGTAGAGGACTTACTAGTAAGAACTTACTAGATTCGTTGAAAAGTACCTAACAGGTAGAATTGATGAGGCCATAGCCGTCCGTCCGTATGAACGCCTCAATCTCAGTAACTGTAAAATCTAGAAAAAACTGATTCCCACGCCTGTCATACTGTCAAAAACAACCAAGTTCAAACTTATTAAAAAAATCTTTCCTTTTATCTTTAAAAATATAATATTAAAAGGCAAAGGAACCAAGTGCCTTTCACAAACATTTAAAACCAATAATCCAATTCGGTCAATACATATTCAATTCGTGATATATATATTGAAAAAAAAAACCAGAGAGATGGCAAACTTAGTTTCACAGAAATTGTCGGAAAATCACGCTCCTCTACCAAATTAAGGATTATGATGAAAATCCAAAAGGACTCAGTAATTACATTACTGAAGTGATATACTTATTCATATCATACTATAATTATAAAAATATAAAATTCGTAAGCCAGCCGGTTTCATTTATAAAAAACATTAACTGTTATGGCTTACTAGTTTTTTGACAATATATAATTAAAATAATCTAATTCATACGCCTGTAGTATATAGCTGCCATAGAAATAGTCAGATGATAAGATATAAGGGTTTCGTTGATTTAAATAAACTCGATTTTTTTTTTATAATATTTCTTTTGATGATTTTAGACCAACCAAATATTCTATTTGTTGTAAGAGATCATCGTTCCGCCATAAGTTTTGATATAAAAACTAACAAATATGTCGGACCCAAGGCAGAAAAACCTTCTCAGATGATACTGCTCGACAGATATTTTGCTACGGAAAAGCGATTTCAACTCGGAAAATCGTTGTTTGCGGACAAACTTAAAAACTTGCAGGGTCGAGAAGTCATCATAGCTGGGTTCGATTATCCACCTTATTCAGTGATAAAACATGTAAGTTTTATAATTTAACTAATTAAGCTCTTCTAATTTTTATTATATTGGCCATTATATCGATAAAGATATAATTATTTATCAATAAATTATAAACGCCAATAAACTGACTAATACTGTCACGCCCACACTTCTTAAAAATGTGATATTCTTTAATTTTTAATTTTGTAAATTTTTCTATAAATTTGCCAAAAACTTTTTGCCACGCCCACAAACCGTCCAAAACTGCCACGCATACATTTTTTAATAATATTATATTTTTTCCCTTTTATTAGTTTTGTAAATTTCTATCGATTTGCCGAAAAACATTTTGACCCACCCACTTTACCACTCCACAAACTGCTACTCCCACATTTTTGATAAATGTTGTAATATTTTTTCATTGTTTTATTAGTTTTGTTAATTTCTGTCGATTTGCCAAAAATAGTTGTACCACGCCACTAAACCGCCCACAAACCGTCTAACTTTTAAATATTGGTCATGCTCTATCGAAATATTATTCTATCAACACTTCTATTTAGTAATTGGTTATCATTAAAGTTCACTTTGAAAATTGTTGATTTGAAGTTGTATGCAACAAAAATAAATATGACTATTAGATGTACTCAGCTAATGGGAACGCTGGGAATATGTTTCATGTTTGTCAGCGATTGAAGTTGCCCAGAGACAAATAATAAAACAAAAGAAAATAACTATACTTTTTTAAAAAGCGTGGCCGTTAAAGTTATTCGCGGTTTGTGGGAGCTAGAGTGGGCAGGTCCAAAATGTATTTGACAATTGATGTAAATTTGCAAAACGATTAATGAAACGAAATAAAATCAACAACCTTTTCAAAAAAGTGGACGAGAAAGTTTTGGGAATATCGATAGAATTTTGCAAGGCAAGTAATGAAAAGAAAACAACCCTGCAGTTCCATTCATTACATTAATCCATTAACAGCTTAATCACCGCTCAGCGATGATTTTAACATTGGCATGTCCTAGTGATTCATTACTAAGACAAACCATCATAAAAACAGAGCGAATTCATCACGCTTTACCACTGTTTATAAATAATAATAATTACTTATCAACAAATAATTTCTAATAATTTGAATAATAATTTGAATTATACTAAAATTGCGATGTCCTGGGCGTCTGTTTTCCTATGCAGTTTGGGGCCAGTTTCTTTTCAGTTAATAAAAATATCTTAACGTACACCAGAGAGATTGCTATAGTCGAGTTCGCCGACTATCAGATACCCATTACTCAGCTAGTGGAAGTGCGAAGGAAAAATTTCAACATTTTCCGGAATTTTAATTCCGGAATTAAAAAAAAACTTTAAAATTCTTTAAAAGTGTAGGTGTCAAAGTTTTGGGGGATTTGTTTTATAGTGGGCGTGGCAAAAAGTATTTTAGCAAATCGATGGAAATCTAAAAGATACATATAAAAAAATGAAAAAATACCACAATTTTTTAAAAGTGTCGGCGTGGCAGTTTTGAACGGTTTGTGGGCGTTAGAGTGGACGTGGAAAAATTTGGAAATAAACCTGCGCTGCTTCTATGTCTCTGGGAGCTGCATTCTTAATATCAATATTCTAGCTTTTGTAGTTCCTGAGATCGAGGCGTTCATACGGAGCGTGTCCAAATCGACTCGGCTATTAATCCTGATCAAGAATATGGTCAGAACCACTTCCTTTTGTTTATACATACTGTTACCTTTGTTACATACTTTTCAACGAATCTAGTATACGCTTTTACTCTACGAGTAACGTGTATAAAAACATTAATACAACAAAGACAAAAATGTATTAAAACAATATAAAATTTTGCTCACTTTTATCAGTTTTAGTCGGTTTGGGATGAAGTCATCACCTAGACTTTGCTTAAAATATTATCACTTATTCCTCATTTTGATTAAGCAAATTACCATTTCTTTAAATTTTTAAAAGTCAGATAGCCCACGAGAGAGTCGGTGAGAGCGTCGGCCGAGCAACAGAAGCTAGCCAATTGCTTATCCTTTAAAAGAATGTACATATAGTGACATATCCTCAAGTCCCTTAGACTTAAGCATACTTAAGCTACTAAGCATACGTGTATACACAATTATGTACCCAATCAAGAGCGAATGGACTTGAATCCAAGAGAAATGCAAAGATAATCAGAATCAGTAACTTTAAAGCTCTCTCTAAACTCTAAAATCCAAAGTCCATATTTAAAAAGCTCGAGACCGATGCTTAAATGTCAATCAATCCAGATCAAAAAGTTAAGTTCAGTTTGAGACCTAAATTAAGAAGGTCGGTGTTCCTCAAAACATAAAGATTGTAATTATTCAGTTAATAAAAATTATATTTCTTTAACTAATGAATATTGCAAACATATAATAATAGGTTGGCAAATATCTCCCTTCCGCTTTTTTTGCTCTTTATTCAATGCTTTATAAAAAGTGTTACAGTGAGCGGATTTAGTTCAAATATGCGCCGTTTTGTTCGATAATCTGTTTCCATCTAGACGGCAACTTCATAATACCTCCCTCGTAGAAGCCCCCCTCCTTATTTGCGAAGAACTCGGACAGCCACTTTTCACAAGCCTCTTTTGAGTTCAACTTTACACCACCAAGGGCATTCGCCATGGACAGAAACAGGTGGTAATCACTTGGCGCTATGTCCGGGCTATATGGTGGATGCGATAAAACCACCCATCCGAGCTCCCGTAGCTTCTGACGAGTCATCAACGAAGTGTGTGGTCTGGCGTTGTCCTGGTGGAGCACTACACCCTTCTTGTTGGCCAATTCTGGACGCTTCTGGTCGATCGCCTGCTTCAAGCGGTCCAGTTGTTCGCAGTAGATGGTAGAATTAAGCGTCTGGCCAAATGGGAGCAGCTCATAGTTGATGATTCCCTTCCAATCCCACCAAACACACAGCAAAACCTTCCTGGCCGTCAATACCGGCTTGGCCACTGTTTGGGACGATTCACCGGCCTTCCACCACGACCGTTTTCGCTTGATATTGTCGTATGTGATCCATTCTTCGTCGCTAGTCACCATCCGCTTCAAGAATGGGTCGAGTTCGTTCCGTTTCAGCAGCATATCGCAGGCGTTGATTCGGTCCAGAAGGTTTTTTTTGTCAAATCATGCGGCACCCAAACATCAAGCTTTTTTTTGTATCCAGCCTTCTGCAGATGGTTTAAAATGGTTTGGTGACTAACTCCCATCTCCTGGGCGATGTCACGAGATGCCACATGCCGGTCTAACTTGATGTATTCCATGATTTGATCGGTATTTGTCGTCACAGGTCTTCCGCCGGCTGGCTTATCCATGGTGTCGGTTTCACCGGCTCTGAATCGTCGAAACCATTCCTCCGCGGTTCGAAGTGATAGAGTACCATCCCCCAAAACACCATTATTCTCACGGAACGTTTCTCTAGCGGATTTGCCTTTAACGAAGGAAAACTTTAAAAAAGCGCGAATTTCGGCGTTAGTGAACTCCAAGTTTACACGTCTATAACTGTTGAACGCAATATCCAAACTAATCATGCATAGCGTCGTTTTGTACATAGCCGCGAAATTCAAAAGACAAAAAGGCGGAAAGGAGATATTTGCCAAACTAATATTAACATGCAAACCCCAAATCCATTTATTACTAATCAAAATTAATACTTGACTCGTCCTTTACCTTCCAATCAGAGGGGGATTTATTACACTTTTAGAAGGGATTTAACAGAGGGCAGACAAAACAATCCTCTCAATTTTCAAATAATGTGAACAATAATAGGCCGGTAAGAAGACAACGAGAAAGTCAGAGTGGGCAAAGCAAGATGGACGTAAATTTTCATCAGACTGTCTCGGACACTCAAGAAATACGGGAAAACGAACCAGAGTTCGTTTAGAATATAGAGTTCTAATAACCTATCATAACAATTACTATAAAGGAATGATCGACAGAGGTTCCTCGATCAACATCATAAAAGAAAACTTTGCAAGCTTAGAAGAGGAAGAATATAGTATACTATATATATAGGATAGAAGAGTATATATAGTATAATAGAGTATAGTATAGTATACACCATAAAAAGGCCAATGAAATTAAAAAAGAGTATTATTGTGAAACCCAGTTCAATATGTCCGTCTGCACAAAAATTCTATGTCGAAGGACGAAAATATCTTGAGGAAACGAGAGCAAAAATTGACTATGAAAAAGAAACCGAACCTCTAGGTTCAAAAACGTACTTTAGGTACGAAGAAGAAAAAGCCGAGACCGCATCCACAAAATGCCTTGACCCAAAACAAAAGGACGAACCTGCACCAATGAAGGAATGCGAAGAAATACAGACTCGAACATCTAAATGTAGAGGAAGCTGAACGTTTAAAGAAGGTCCTATACCAATATAGAGACATTCTGTACAAAGAAGGAGAAAATTTGACCTTCACAAGTAACATTAAACATGTTATCCAAACTCAACACGAAGATCCAGTCTACCGAAAACCTTATAAATACCCCCAAAGTGTTGACCAAGAAGACAACAAACAAATTAATGAAATGATAGAACAATGTATAATTTGCAAATCGAAGTCGCCTTATTGTTCTCCCATTTGGGTCCCTAAGAAGGCAGACGCCTCTGGGAATCAGAAATTTATGTTAGTAGTGGACTATAGGAATCTCAACGAAATAACTGTCAACGACAAATTCCCCATCTCTAGAATGGATGAGATATTGTATAAACTCGGACGATGCCAATATTTTACAACGATTGATCTAGCCAAAGGTTTTCACCAAATTCAAATGGATAAGAATTCCATCGCGAAAACAGCCTTTTCAATCAAACACGGGCACTATGAATATACACGCATGCTCTTTGGTTTGAAAAATGCCCCTGCAACTTTTCAGAGATGTATAAACAATCTTCTGGAAGATTTGATCTACAAGGACTGCCTAGTATACCTGGACGATATTATAATTTAATCCACTTCATTGGAGGAACACATTCTATCTCTAAGGAAAGTCTTTGGGGAACTCAGGGATGCTAACTTAAAATTACAGCTAGACAAATGTGAGTTCATGAAGGAGGAAACCGAATTCCTGGGACATATTGTAACCACAAACGGCATCAAACCCAAACCAAACAAAACTAATGCAATCACAAATTTTCCATTACCTAAGACACCAAAACAAATAAAATCATTTTTGGGATTATGTTGGTTCTACCGCAAGTTTATTCCTTACTTTGCCAAGGTAGTTAAACCTATGACCCTCCAGAATTCTCAAAACCATTCTCGCTGACAACCGATGCAAGTAATTTAGCTATTGGTGCTGTGCTATCTCAGAATCATAAACCCATCTGTTATGCCAGTAGAACACTAAACGAGCATGAGATTAATTACGCTACAATCGAGAAAGAATTGTTAGTTAAGAAGTTCTACACCCAGGAATAGAAAAAACCACTAACTGGTTTAAAGAAGAATACTATAAAAAGTAGAGATTGGTTAGAAGCAAAGAGGGCTATAACGAAAATATTTAATGACATGGGAGAACCACAGGAAATAAAAGCGGATAAAGACTCAGCATTCATGTGCATAGCTCTGCAGAATTGGTTAAGATCTGAAGGCGTAAACATATCCGTCACTACAAGTAAAAACGGAGTATCCGATATAGAGAGGTTCCATAAAACAGTAAACGAGAAACTAAGAATCATTGGCAACGAACAAAATATAGAGGATAGATGTACAAAATTTGAAACAATCCTATTTGTTTACAATCATAAAACTAAACATAACACTACCAAAAGAACTCCGGCAGACACATTTTTGCATGCAGGAAGCACAGACTTTAATGTCCAGCAAAATAAAATCGACAAAATCAATAAACTTAATGAGAAGAGACATGAGTTTGCAATCAACACGAGATATAGACAAACCCCACTTGTAAAAAGCGAAGTAACCAACCCATTTAAGAAAACAGGACAAATCGAACAATTAGACGAAAAACATATCGAAGAGACAAATCGCGGTAGGAAAATCGTACACTATAAGTCAAAATTCAAAAAGCAGAAGAAAATTAATAATAGTAAATACGATAATTCCAGACAACCCGAAGAGAGTTAAGCGATGCCATATACTTCCCACATTACTTATCTGTATGATACCCCTTATCACCATGGACCAATCCAGTAATATAGAAGTAAACCCACTCAATGCCAAGAATGGATGTTTGGAATATATTCCAAACAGGAACAATAGAAAATCCGATAAGCTACGAATACCATTACTTAAGCATAAACATAACGAAGACAATGCTAACATTTGAGAACCTAGTAGAAGAGGCAAAAGTTTTTCCAAATGTACCCCAAATTCAAAATCTAGTTGAGAAATTAAAACGGGAAATCAATGGACTAAGAATTATTAAACGAAGTAAAAGAGGAACAGCGTATAAATATTTATTTGGCACCTTAGACCAGAACGATAGGGATGAGTTGGAAGGAAAAATCAATAACCTTTCAGAAAATTCCGTGAAAGCCCATGACTTAAACATGGTAATCAACAACGGAATAGACATTATAAATAAGCTCAAAGTAGAGAAAGAAAAGAATCAACAGATCGCGATATTAATATTCCATTTACAACAATTCACAGAATATATAGAGGATATCGAATTAGGAATGCAGTTAACTAGACTAGGAATCTTTAACCCGAAACTATTAAAACATGATTAATTGAAACAATTAAACTCCGGAAAAATTTTAAAAATAAAAACATCAACATGGCTTAAAACAGATAAAAACGAGATTTTAATTATTTTCCATGTTCCAAGCGAAGTCACAAAAGTTCAATCTTTCAAGTAGTCCCATACCCATATGAACATAATAATATTCTAACTGAGCAAATATTCGATAAGTTCTATATTTTCAATAATCAAGTATACCATAAGGATACAGAGTTAGTAATACATGACAAATGCATAGTTGGATTGATCAAACAAAAAGAAACTCAGTGTAAATACACTAAGACTCATAAAAATGTTCAGATCAATTACATAGAACCGAATATACTAATTACATGGAATCTTCCAGAAACAACTATCAATCAAGATTGCACTAACAACAAAACCATAATATCAGGAAATAATATTGTAAAGATTAAAAATTGTACAATCGAAATTGATGAATTCATAATTTCAAACAATCTAGCAGATTTTACACAAACAATTTACATTACTAATAATGTTACAAAATTAGAACCCATAGAGTATTTACAATGTATTCCGAATAATATGTGTGACAACTTTTGTAATTACAACTATAAGCCTAATTCTGTACTGAACATATAAGTTTAAAAATATACCTAAGAAAATAATGATAAAATATTGTAAACCAAAAGAAGAACATCCGCACCCAGTAACTATTGATAATATTCAATCAGAAAACAATTTAATTCAACCACATAATGTTATGTTATACCCAAATTGTCCAAGTTAAGTGACCTGAGGACAAGCCAAATTCAAAGGTTGGGAGAGTGACATATCCATAAGTCCCTTAGACTTAAGCACATGCCTACTTATTTACACACAACAAGCATACCCAACACTACCCTATACCTCACAATTGTAAATCAGCATACCCCATATTACCCTTTATGCACTCAGCCCCTAGATAAGAAAAAACTCGTCAGCAGAATCCCAGTACCAAAGCCAAGCGGGAAAACCCCAAGTAATACGAATACAGGATGTTATTTATACAAATCATCCATTGGTAGACTAAACATTCTTTGCCTAATTGTCAAGTTCCCACGTTCAAAGTTCGGACTCGCAAGCTCGAAAACAAAAGTTTTAAATTTCAAATAGACAAAATCTTAAGAATCTAAGAGCACTTGTATCCAAGAGAAATGCAGATAACTCCAAAGCTCTCTCTAAAATCCTGAAATCAAAAGTCCATATTTGAAAAGCTCGAACCCGAGGCTTGAACGTCAATCAATCTAGATCAATAAGTCGAGTTCAGTTTGAGACCTAAATTTTGAAGGTCGGTGCTCTTCAAAAATAAAGTGTTGTAATTCAGTTAATAAAATTATATTTTTTTTTTACTTATGGATATTACCATCATATAATTGGCGCAGTCGGCAGGATCATCATTAAAATACGAAGTCCTTTTTAGTACGGTACTGGTCATTGACAGGATATGCTATACAACTATCTAACCTGACCAGCGAATTAAAACAGCGATTTCTAAATCAAATCTAAGAAATATAGAAAAATCCCATGTGGTCGGATAAACTCTGCAAACTAACTAAGAAAAATGCCGTGCGGAAGGAAACAAAATTTTATAAAAAAATTGTAGTTCCGTGGGTTTAAATAAACCAAATAACATTTTAAAAACTCTGTACATCAAGAAATTAACAAAGAAAACAATATGGCAGTTCCACAACTTTCTGAGATTCACATGAATCAATTACTGGGCCAGATTAAAGAATTAAACCAGGTCGAACAACTACACAACTTATACCCCACCCAAGATGCCAGGCAGGCACATGTAATATATGGAGCCGTGAAACGCCTGATCACGGACTCAGCGCAGGAAATGTATAAATTTTTCAACGCCTAACCTGTCATTAGATCCATCAAAATGTATTCCCCATTTTTGCATGAGAACTTATGCCGAGAACTTATTGAGTATGAACTGAAAGAGAATTGTCTGACCTTTGGGGGTTGCTTGGTGGTGGCAGATTCTGTATGTTTAATGACGATAAAACCCTGAAAATGGTTTGCTCTATCATATCTTGAATTGTATTATAATCCACCGTTTGAGTTCGACGTGATTCGATAGTTCTGACTGGTTTACCCGCACGGGGCCTACCACGAGGGGGTCTACTAGAAATACCCTCACGGTGCTCGGTACTTTGACTCGCATCCAATACAGAAGACGGAGCACCACTAAAGGAAGTGGTTCCGGTATGTTGGCCGTATTAGCTTTCTCTAAAAGGCTCTGTCGGCATAGGTAATGGTTGCGCTCGGAGAGGCGAACAGTTTCCAACCACTACTTTAATATCTTTTCTATCAATCCGAGCATTACAAGAATAACAACAAGAATTCTCTGTTAACCAGGCTTCTACACAATTGTTGTGAAAGACATGCTTGGACGCTAAATGATAACAAGGATTGGTATTATCCATAACCGTTGAATAAAGGGCGCAATTATTCTCCATATTACTTTCCGAAGAAGTTTTGGGAGGCGTATTCACTACTGGCATTGCTGGTTATCTTAATATTTGTTCTTTCGATTTTTTCCTGAATTTGACATTTGATGGCAACTTAATAAAATTACGTTGATGACTGGATTATTGAAAGTCTGATTTCCCGCTTGAAACGAGTGCGTTAACTAACTTTCTACAGTTTTTTTACTGAAAACTCGCAACTCCCAGAGCTATCAGATGTGTTTTTAGGAATTTGCTGCAGTAGCGCCCTGTAGAAACAATACTCTACCAGATGCGCGATCATTAAGTATTGATATCCGATCAGAATCAAATCATCAATATTCTTTAAGAGCTCGTCCCTTTCGCTTGCACATAAGCGACAAATACCCTGCACAAACTCCTAGAACTGAACAAGAGCTGATGGGAGTTAAGTTAAGTAAGATCACGCCGATCTAACTCCTTCAACACTTCAGTATGCTTGCGAAATAACACAGGACAATACGTTGAATTAGAAAATCTAAACATACATACAGCATGAGAGGCGGAGGTGTATATAGTACCCATACACTGGTGATTCGGGATCTCAGTTATGGTTCCACTCAGTTATGAATAATGGCGTGTGGAATCCTCTGGTACCTTAGATCTTTCGGCGATGAGATGGGTCGGATTGCATTCCATATCTTTCCACACATACTTTAATTTTTAGGATTCCTACAGAAACAATAATTTACTATGCTTGTAAATGCAATACTAAGAGTGATAAATAAATAAAACTGAAAAAAAAACAGAACTCGCGAGGTTTACCTTTTAAAAAAAAAATTTACAGACTGCAGCAAGACTAAACTGTAGCAAGGTCTTTGGTGAAATTTAAATCTTCACAATAGCATCTTCGAAGATTCCCTAGAGAGACTTCCGATCTTATTTACGTTGCCATGTCAACTCAGGTTAACGACAGGTTTAGCAATTCTCAATTTCTTCAAGTTCATATTATACCTTTATTTAAAAAATTTTATTTTATTTTATTTGCCAACCTATTATATGGAAACATATCCATGGTATTCTATGTCACCAACGATCCATAAAGTACTGGTCCACGGATTTCAAATCACTAATTCGGCGTTGGTTCCACTTGGATGCCTAGGCGAAAATGCGAGTGAAGCCCGAAATAAACATTACAAAAGGGACCGACTATCACATGTCAGGAAAAATAGTCGAATTAATACGATGAGTGATATTTTCCACAGAGCGATTGATTCCTCGGACCCACTATAATCAACAATTTGTTTAAAAGAAAGAGAGAGCATAAATAAGAAAAAACCACTTCCGAAGGCAGTAATAAGTCTTTTGGAAATACAGTCTAATTTTAAACAGGATCCATCAGACAAAATATTGGATTCACAATCAGATTCTGATTCAAGTTCACATTCGGAAATTTATAATGTAGAACTAGAAGAAGAAGAGGGCGATTATTCAGAAAACAATATATGTACACGAATACACATTTATTAATACATATTTAAAAAACAATACAATTTCGTTGACTCCTGAGTCATACCAGTAGTTAATATGGGAGGCCAGAGACTCAAAATTTTTTGTGCAAACTATATGGGTATTAACAACAAAATATACAAAGTTTCAAGTCTGTAGCTTAATTTTTAGACTTTATGCCAACAAAATCGAATTCTGGACCACAATGCATTGTGATAAATCTATTGTTATTAATCAATTATAGGCCTAGCCATAAGATACTTTTTTATTTTGATTAAATACCTTTGATGTAGTTCGAAAAATGTTAGCCTCTCTGACTCTTAAAATCATATTGTTATCCATAGGTGCTTATTTACTCCTCGAGTCTATGTCTTTCTTATCTATCATTGTAGCGACCTCTTTCGGATATTATTTTAGCTGCAGTTACTTA